ATTTTTCAAGACAATGCTGTAAATATGGACATGTGTAAGGAAATAGGAGTGGAGGAGATGGCAACACTTTCAGGCTGCTCAGAAGCAGATTCCAACTGGCTTAACTATAAATTCTGTCACTCAATCCAGCATTACTGTAGCTATGTAAGATCTAAAAGCTAAAAGAATACACCAATCAATTCAGCAAGCACTGAGTGAACTCATGGTGTGTGTTAAGGCTTGTATTTGGCTCTTCTGCCCTGTTATTTATTCCTCATTAATGTATGCATTAATTTTTCAATAAAGTCTTTATTCTCTATTTCAAGTAGAGCAGAACATTTTATCTGAAAGTCTCATTCAGAAATATTTCCTCAGATTTAAGAGCAAAATAATACCTGTCCCATGAATGTGGACACATTATAAAGAGGAACTCAATACTACCTCCAAGCCTGTTTGGGTACTGTTATTATTTTTTTTATAAATTATTAGAAAGTTACACATCAGCATCCCTATCACAAATTTTAAGAGTAGACTTTAATGGCTTACTGCCTAGACTGTTTCTTTTTTAGAGGGTGGTGCTTCTGGTCAGGGTAGAGGTGGGAAAGGACTCAGTTTTCTTTAAGGGGCTGGCCACTCATAGTTTGACCATGCTCCAGTGACTATATGGGCAACACAAATTGGACTCAGTATTTTTTCTTTATTTCTTCTTTTGTTTGTCTTGGGAGTGGTCACAAGGGTGACCTTTTGTTTTGAGGGGTGGACCTGGGAGGATTGGGAAGTGAATCTGATCAGGGTTCATTATGTAAAATTTCCAAATAATAAACAAAAATATTATGTTAAAAAAGCTAGTTTGTTGCCGGGCGGTGGTGGCGCATGCCTTTAATCCCAGCACTCGGGAGGCAGAGCCAGGCGGATCTCTGTGAGTTCGAGGCCAGCCTGGGCTACCAAGTGAGTCCCAGGAAAGGCGCAAAGCTACACAGAGAAACCCTGTCTTGAAAAAAAATCCCCCCCCCCCCAAAAAAAAAAAGCTAGTTTGCTTGATGGTGGTGGCACATGCCTTTAATCCCAGCACTTGGGAGGCAGATCTCTGACTTTGAGGCCAGCCTGGTCTACAAAGCAAGTTCAAGGACATCCTGGGCTGTTACACAGAAAAACCCTGTCTTGAAAACCCAAAAAGAAAAACAAAACAAAAAACAAAACAAACAAACAAACAAACAAAAACAAAACTCAAAAAGAAGAAAAAAATTTAATTAGCCTGTGTCCTTCCTTGGGTTATTCTCCAAAGCCTCTTCCAATTGCTGCCAGTCCTTGGAATTGCTGTGACCTGCTTTGTCCAGCATGGTTCTGTCATCTGCACTTAAAGGCTTCTGCCTTTGATTTCTACTCCAGGTAGAGTAATAGCATCTGTCGCTGTTTCCCTGGGGTTGACGGTGACCCTTGTTGGATCCTTGCACTGGTGTGCCCACAGATGTAGCTATTATCTTAGTTTCCAGATCCAGAGAGTGACTTAGAGAGTGACGACAGATCCCTGAAGACCCGAAAGAGTCTGCATGAGGATGTGTTGTTGGAGGTGTGAGCAGAGCGTGTAAATCTTCCCCTTAGCTGGAAACGAATACAAATCAGCCCTCATTTATATTCATTTATTCCACAAGCAAGTGGGTCTGAGAGACTGCACAGTGCAGCCCACTCCAGATGAAGGCAAAGAAAGATCTGGTCTTGGACAAGGTGCTAATTTATAAGAGAACTTGGGCATGTGATTTGCTAACTGAACCGCAGAGTTTCCATCCATATAGCAGGCTCATTAATAACTGCCGGTGTATGGAAGTAATCATTTTCCTAAGGCCCATTCTTCAAACCCACACACAACACTTGCTGTCTGTGGCAAACTAAACATGTTTTTTAACTCTCCAAGCCTTGGTTTCCTTATGTGAACAATGGGAATGAGGATGATATGTTAACCTTCATACTTGCAGGTGCTTTTGCTTACAACAACTGCAGATTGAAAATGTTTTTTTTTTAATCTATGCATGCTTTGAATGTATACAGGCTTGTCATTTTTTCTATAAATACAGTATAATTATTATTTTTATAGCATTTATATTAAAATAATGTAGAGATAAGTGAAATATATGGAAGGATGTATATAAGATACATCAGGGGACTTTAGTGGTCTGGACTTGGGTATTTAGTGGTCCTGAAATCAATCCCTGATGATACTTAGGTATGACTGCATCTAATTCATGGAACCTCTATAGAAAATGAATGAAGTAGAGCATGCAAAGTATTTAATTCAGAATACAGAGTGCAGTGAAATGTGAGTTGTTCTCATCCATATTGTTCCCCTAGCCTAGGGCATTGTCAACAGCAAATGAGACTTTAAGCATATTCCAATTTGGTACAACCTCATAAGGTAATTGTAATTAAATATGAACAATACAATTTAATGTGGATTTAATGGTTTGTTGGTATTGAACACTCTCCCTGCTACCCAGCAATGTTCCAAGATAAATAGAAAAAAACATCTTTGGACTGATAGAATTGAAGAGATGGTCTGAGCTTGTCTCCTAGTTTGTAGGTAGAAACACCGAGGCCCAGTGAGACAGACTTACTCATCAATATCCAGTTGCTGAGGGAGAGGCTAGGACTGGAAATCATATCTCATGATTCATAATATGATTTTCTTTCTGTGTGTTGCTTTTTATATATGAGGAAGCAAAGTCAAAATGACTGAATGAATTGTTCATGGTCATATATGGCTATTTGTGACTTACATTTATGACATGTTTTATGCATGCAAACATAGTTCTCAGTGTTTGTATGTATCACATCAGTAATTTGTTCCAACAATTATAGGAGATACTAACAGGCCCCCATTTCTCAGGTGGGGCTGGAGGCACAGCAAAGTCTAATAACTTGTCTGAGCCTACACAGGAAGCACTGGGATTGATTCAGATCAATTGCCATCAGAATTGCATATGTCACCAATCTTTGTGTTCTGAGTCTCTCAACCTGATCCTCTTGTTTCTCAGCCTCAGGCATAAGTGAGTTTGAGCTCTAAGTCAGAAGTAAGGTCTAATGACAAAGAGCAGTGTCTGTCACTGGGTCACAATGGAGCTCATTTGCTTTGGAAGGTATAGGTCCTGGAGCTTTCAGGGAAGCTAGCTTTGCTTGTGTGTACCGGTTGTTTCTAAATTACAGTGTTATTAGAACTCATTTGATGAAATGTGTGGACCGTGATGAGGTCTTTTGCAAAAGAGAAGACAGCTGTGGCTTTAAAGCTACCATGAATTGGGAAGCCCAGAGTGATTATCTAGCTGAAACTGGTTGGTTTTGAAAGAAAGTGGACTGGCAAGTAGCAGTCTGACCACTCCCCACTCAGCCACCATGTGCTTTAGACAGTGTCTGTAAAGATGTTTAAATGAAAACATCCAGATCTAGTTAAAAATAATGAAATAAGAACTCAACAGATGGAGTTGGGCTGTTTTACTTCATAATCCAATCTCTTCTAAGTACCTTAAATGTTGCAAACCACTTCACCTCTTATGCCTATTTTCTCATATGCAGTGGGGAGGATTCTCGTGTTTCATTCATAGGGTGATTGTTACAGACTAAATATTAATCTCCACTAGATAACCCACAGTTCGATTCCATTTGAATATACTGCCTTTGGGAATTCATTAGGGTTATATGAGGTCATAAAGGTGTGGCTTTCATGATGAAATTACTGCCTTATAATGGGAGACACTGGAGACACCCTGAGGATGACTGTCTCTAAATTGAAACAGAGCCCTAGCCAGGAACTCAATGATTTAGCACCTTGATTTTGGACTCCCTTACTTCAAATTTGTAAGAATTTGAACTTCTACTGTTTAAAACACCAATATTTGCATATTTTATTCAGTTTAAGATAATAGTTACAAAAATTAAGTATAGAATCTGTGCATCCATGCCCAGTGCTTGAGTTGTTGTGCATGCATCAATATTTGATATGCATATATATGAGATCTCTCTATATATAAGTTATATATGTGTACACATATCAATGTGTGTTCATGTACACATGTATAACATGGAATTCTTTGGTCTAAATTAGCACTTAGCCAACTACAGCACAAGAATAAGTGCTGCAGCCTACAGTCAGGAGTGCTATACTTGACAGCTAGGCCTGCAGGTGGCATCTTAGACTATCAGTGTGTCCCCAAGATGGAAGTTGACTTGTTCTCCATCTCTACATCCTGGAAAAACTATTACTGTGTCAGGCTTGGCAACTCTAAAGCAACAGCTAGGCTCAATGAGCAGATTAGTTCCAGGTTGTAATGCCAAACCTACACAATATGGCAGGAGACAATGGCAACCACTCCCTGACTGGATTCTCCAGCTCTCTGAGAATTATTTGTGATGTGAGTGCCTCCTCTGTGCTGAAGAAGCAGTCCTGGACCATTTAAGGGCAACAGTAGGAAATTCTGGGCTTTCTGGTAATCAGGCACATGGGAAACTGGAGAGCTGAATTGCACTATTAAAGGAGATGTGACTTTGTTTGTTTTGAAACTAGTTACATGAAATAATAGCTTGGACATTTAATGAGCACTTATGATGCTCCAGACACAGTAGCAAGTAATTTACATAACTCATGTCTTTCTATATCTGAAACACAGAATAGGCTGTATTATCCACATTTTATACATATAGTGACTGAGCCCCAAGGAAGGAAATCACTTGTTCAAGGTCACAAATCAATAATGTGGCAGAGCCAGAATGAGACTGACAATTTGTGATAACACAGCTCAGACCTTTTCCAATGTGAAGCACAGCTATGCTTGGAAAATAGAAGAAATCTTATAGAAAACATGCCACATTAAAGGTTGAGCATGTGCTCCAGCAAGTCTTCTAGCTGAGATTTAACTAAATGATTGGTATGTTTGCCTAGAAGAGATGGGAAAACTTGTCCCCAAATGCAAGGAATAGCCCCTATTGGGCTTATGAATTTGACAGGTGAACTTGGCCATGTCATTTTCTTTTTTAGGTGAAAGGTCAACTCAGCAGGAAACTGGGTATAGCATGAGAGCTTTTTCTTCTGAACACCAAGTCTCGTAACTGAGCCAGGACTTCTCTCTGGGAAGGAAGTTGCCCCAAAATGGGAGGTAAAAAAGTTCTTTCTTTCTTTCTTTCTTTCTTTCTTTCTTTCTTTCTTTCTTTCTTTCTTTCTTTCTTTCTTTCTTTCTTTCTTTCTTTCTTTCTTTCTCTCTTTCTTTCTTTTCTCTCTCCCTCCCTCCCTCCCTCCCTCCCTCCCCCCCCTCTCTCTCTCTCTAAACAATTTCTTTATTGATTCTTTGGGAATTTCACATCATGCACCCGAATTCTTCTTATCTCCCAGTTTCCCATATCCTCCTCTAACCCCTGCAGTATCTCCTGAAAAAAAATTAAAGAAAAATAAAACCAAAACAAAGCAATCAAACAAACAAAAACAAGAACAAAAAACCCTCTTTGCTTCTCCATCTTTCCCACCTCTCCAACACCTCTTTATTTGTCCTGTTGGCATTGGGAGGGTGGTGTGTCCTTTTCTAATGAGATATTCCAGGGCAATGTGAGACTGCTCTGCCAGAAAGAGACAAAATTAGCAAAATCTGACACCAGTGGCTGCCACCATCTTGGACCATACATGTGTTGGAGCCAACATCTGCCTGCTTACCTTGCCCAGCCAGGATAGAGGCCCTGCCAGACCTGTTGCCCATATGTCTCATGCCAAGTTCAGTTGGCAGGGACTTTTTGTCCCTGGAGGGCCATGTGGTATGGTCATCTTGAGGAAAGGGCAGCTGAGAAAGTCCCACAGATGGTCCCACAGTCAATGCTGATGCTGACATCAGAACTTCTAGGATGTAAATACTGACCATGGCCCAGGGGATAAGAGAAATACAATAAGTGAGATTGGAAGTAGACACAGACATATTAGAATGTCTTTGCTGCAAGGTGCCTGCAGAATTTGTTCAACAGAGCTAATAATGCTAGTTACCACCAACTGAGTGGGGAATTGGTGCCAGTCCCTCCTCTCAGGTATTTGTGTGATATTGCAGTTGATCCTACAACAGCTCATGAAGGGACTTCCAGTATCATGTCCTCTGTTTTATAGGTGGGGAAAATGAGGCTCAAAGGGGCTAAGTAATAAGAGCAAATGACCTACATGCCTTAGAAGTGGAAAGACGCAGGTTAAGACTTAGTTCCTACTTTTAAAACTCCTACCCTATAATGTAAAGGACTTGGTTCCCAGAGCAATGGTGTGGGGGTCTTTAGAGGTGACTGGACCATGAGGGCTTTGGTTTCCTCAATGGTTAACTCATTGATGAGTTAATGGCTTAATAAACTATTTAGAGATTGGTCTATCTGGAAGATGTAGTTCATTGGAATGTGTCTTTTGTGTGTGTACTTCTGTTGTTTAATGTGTTTTAGTTTCTTATATAATCTACAAGGGAATCCTCTGTTAGATGAATATGTGACAAAGGTTTTGTGCTATTTCATAGGTTAACTCTTTGCTTTTTAAAAGTTCTTCTCTCATATATTACAGCCTAACTGCAGTTTCCCCTCTCTCCTCTCTTCCTAGTCTCCTCCTCTCCCTCTTCTCTCCAGATCCACACCTCCTCTGTCTTCCCTCAGAAAAGAGCAGGCCTCCCAGGAACATCAACCAAACAAGCATAATATGTTACAATAAGACCAGGTATATGTTATACAATAAGACCATAATATGTTACAATAAGACCATCAAGAATGGATGAGGCAACTCTGTAGAAGGAAAAGGTCCCATAAGAAGGTGAAAAGTCACCAACTTCCCCCATTTCTACTGTTAGGAATCATACAAGAATACCAAACTACTCAGCCATAACATATATACAGAGGACCTTGGTCAGACCCCTACAAACGCCCTGTTGTCTGCAAACCTACATGAGTCCCAGTCAGTTGATTCTGTAGGCTATGTTCTCCTGGTATCCCTGACCCCTCTGGTTACTCGATCCTTTCTCCCTGTCCTTCACAAGACTCTACAAGCTTTGCCTTATATTTGGCTGTGGGACTCTGCATCTGCTTGCTCCCAGTTGCTAGATGAAGTAAGTCTCTCTGGTCTCTTTGATGAGGATTCCTTTAGGCTCTGGTCTCAGAACACTCTGCAGGAAGGACAGACTATAGGTTGAAGATTTTGTGGCTGGATTGGTGTCCCAATCCCTCTACTTGAGTGTTTCTTGCTCTGAAGCTGGGGTCCCACTTTCTCTGATTCCAGTTGCAGGGGGTGAATAGACACAGAGACCAAATGACACAGGCTCTGGAAGGTTGTAAGCAATCTTGTTTATTAAATAAAGGACTGAGGTATTTATGTGTGTACTTTTTGGCACACTCTGCTTCCAGCTACCATGGTGTTTCCTGGTTGGCTCCGGGTCATATGTTAACGGTGGTCATCTTGAGGGTCCAGTTTCAGGGTTCTCTGGGTCAGGATACTACTGCGCATGTCAGAGCTCTTTGTTAGCCTAAGGCATGGCCCAGTGCTTTAGGCTTTATATACCTCACTTGAGGCCTTGTCTGGTTCAGGCTCTGTGTCCCTCATTGTTAGTAGTCTTTGCTAGGGTTATTCTCATAGATTCCATGGAGTTTCCATTTCAATTTCAATAATTTCTTCCAGTATCCACCTGTCTAATTGCTCCATCCTGTTCCCACCCCTACCCATCCCCAGGTCACCTGCAAAATCTATTCTACTTCCCCTTCCCAGGGAGATCCTTGTATCCCTCCTTAAGCCCTGCTTGTTACTGAAATGTGTCTTTGAAGGGTAGATTTTTTTTCTCCAGCCTTTTCTTGCCTCTGCTTTGTGGCTGCCAGAAAGCAAACATCTCTCGTTCCCCATGTCCTTCCTCCATGATATAGTTATTTTCTTACCATGGGACAAAAATAATGAAGCCAGGTGACTATGCATGGAAACTGATGAAACCATGAACCATAATAAATCCTTCCTCCTCCAAGATGATTTTCTCAGGCATTTTGTCACCATGTCAGAAAGCAAGATATCATCTTTTTCTTTATTTCAGAGCATATACTAACATATGCTGTGTATTTCTTATTTTTCATGACTATATATATTCATCGATATGCCAACACAGTTTTCAGGGCATAAAAAAATCTAGATTGTAACTCTGACCCAAGAGACATTTCTTGGATTAAAAAAAAAGTTTGAAATTGTAAATAAGAACAAATGTGTACTCTGTCTCTTTAGATTTTAACTTTGCTTCCAAAGCCAGGGTGTTATAATTCAGAATATAAGAGGTTCTTTCTACCTCCCGAATGCTATGACTACTCAGAAAATCCTGTCTACCAGGCACACTGTGAGCCGAGTAAATACAGTCATTCCTGATGCATGGGGATTCTACATCAATGCTATCTCCCTCTCTCCCTCCTACAAATAGCATTTTCCTCCTTCTCCATCTGCTCAAACCTTATCAAACAGCATAATATTAACTTATGTCATCTGCAGCAAAGCGTCTGTGCTCTTCCATGCCTTAGGTCTGTCTGTCCTGTCCTGAAGCACAGTTGAAACTCCTTGTTAGCTGCATTCACAGTGACTGACCAGCAGTGTGAGCAAAGCAAGGGCTCAAGGGAGACATGGCTGAGACAGAGGCAAAGGGACCATCACAGTGTAAGTTGCATGTGGGTACTTGGGGATCAGAAAAGGGAGAGGTGTTCTATGGTTATAGAGGTAAGAGATTTGGGGGAGACAGATGCAGAAAATCTTATCAGGAGTTCTTGGCATCAGATACAATTCTACTTTCTGTAAGTAAGAAGCCTGGGAAAATTTAATTGGCATTGATTCCTCTTAGCAATGAGACTTTCTTGAATTGACAGGGTCACATGGTACATAGTGTTTTACATTGTTTATGATAATGCTAGTTAGCATAATATGTGACTGTGTATGGCTAAGTTTTCACCAGACTCTGAATCCTCTTGCCTTATATTCTGTGCTTGAGATTTTCCTCTGACCTGCAGTTCCCTTTGTGTAGCTTGCTACTCCTCCTGCTTTTTCACTATCTTTTGAAGACAGTCACTGCAGCCAAGTAGAGCTAACTACCCATCCCTATGTCTGTGGAATGCATAGATACTGTGGATCAATGTTTTAGACTTTAAATTCATTGATTTGTTTGTCAATTTGTCTCCATAGCATGGTGAGCTCCCATGGAACAGAAATGATGCCTCGATCTTTTATGATCCACAGCACTCTGCAAATGTTTGTTGAATTACAGATGGTAAGAACTTTCAGTGCACCTGATACAGAACTCTGTACGTGGTGAATAATAAGTAATTTCTCTCATTTATTCAGTATTTATTATTCAACAGGAGGTATGCCATTATTTTCAATGGATTGTCACATTGAAACCATTCAGTGGCCCTATGGTAGTTTTGAGGTGGTCACATAACAGTCATCATTTCAGTAATGAGAAAAATGGAAGCTTAAGAGGAAATAAGACTTATTATTGCATGTGTGTATCCAAGCCATTCCTAAAGGAGAATCCAGAAAAGCTGCAGCAAGACTGTACCATGTGAGATCTGCACATGCACACTCAGAAGTCAGGCTTGGGAGTTTAAGCCATATACTGTCAAAATGCTGACTCCATTTACTATGCTCCTTCACTGCACCAAGTTCTTCACATGTATAATCCTATTTCAGTTGCACAACAAATGTCATGAGGAGGTATATAGTATTCTCATGTCATTGCAAATAAAAAAAGTAGGCTTGAAAAACATTTGCCAACTTTTCTGTGCAATATACAAAGTGTCTGTTGGGAAAAGATGTGTTGATTACAGTACATGCATATAGGAAGTTTGTGAATCAAGCAACATCACACTTTAGAACACCTCTTACATTTCTGCCTCCTAAAGGGCCCTCTGAACATTGACACCTTGGCAACTACTTGGCTGATTTCTTCAAAATTTCAGTGCTTAGATGGAACACAAAGTGTGGAAAAATGAATAGTGCAGGCTGGCTCCCTCTGAATCTGCTGGCACCTCCTCCAACTGCTCTGTCCTTTGTGATGCAGACACTGGGAAACTAAACAGTATTTTTAAGACTCCCCTATAGTGATTGTTTGGGGTGTGATTTTGGTACCACAATCAGACACACTTGGCAAGAATCGACTCGGGCTTACATTAGCAGGGAAGGCTGCACGTAGAAGGCATTCTGTGGTGTAATGATCCCATGCCTCACAGTGTGGCACCAAAGCAGAAATCTCTGTGATGTCTTCCTGTTGCATCTCTCTTGCAGTATATACTCTAGAGACCAAGTCTGATGCTTGGCATCTTTTCTTTGATGGAAATAGCAGTTTCTCTAGAGACTGATTCTTCAATGTCACTGGAGAAATCATTCTTGGAGGCAAAGTTTATAACATACTCCTCCGATAATTACAAGTATAGTTGACATGAGAGACTGTCATCAAGCTGGACTTGTCATCTACAACTAGACATGGTGGAATCAGAATGTGATTGAGTGTGGGTTGTGGAGTCTGTCTGGGCTGAAGTTAGTGAAACCCCAGTTGCCAGTGAAGAATAGGATTTTTGCAGCCTACAGTCCTGGAGGAATGGAAAAGGAAAGAAGTGACTGTGGCTACTCTTCTGCTTCTCTGATCTTTCATATTTTATCCTGATACCTGACTTCTGCTTTTTATTGATAAGATTAATTAGATTTATGCTTCATCTGACTTCCAACATCTGGGGTACAAATTCATGAAAAAGCAGCTTGCCAGTGGCTACAAAGCACATGGGAACTGCATCCTGCAGACTCACCACACCACCAGCTGTCTTTCCCTTTCTTACCCAAAGTCCTCTGAGTAAGTATGGGATTTTTCTGTTGCAGCCTCTCTACAGCAAACTCCATAGGCACTTGGGATCCAAATGCTGCCAGAGTCAGCCCCTCTCTACTGGCCAGCTCTGCCTTCAGGCAGCTTCTACCTCACATGCTGCTTCTACATGATTCCCTGTATGTATTTTTCAGACAGCTGCTTTCCTCTCCCAGTGTGCTGTAGGCTTCCCCCTTCTCTGGCTGCTGCCACACTAGCTACCTTTACACTTGCTCAAGCTTCTACTGTTGTTGCAACTGCCATATACTCTCAGCTCACAGCTACATGCTAGCAGCTGCAGATGTCAGTCAGGCTGTACATTGCCTGTGTTCTCTGCTCAGATGTGCTGCACAGCAGAAGTCAGCCTCACACTTCACAATCATCATCATCAGATTTGGTGGGACAATTGGGAGTTCTTAAATGGGGGAGTTAGTTTTAAAAAAAGAGAGTTTTTCCCCCATTAAAAATGGGAAACACTAATATGATGGAAGAAGTTAGGTCTCTGTATGCTTACACAAAGGATGGTGTAAAAATGGAACAATTAAATTAGGGGATAATTAACTTAGACAGGATTTACATAATGTCAATTGTAATCATTATAGTTTGGTAATTCTTGTTTTTGCCCTAAAACATGCTGGTTGATATCAGTGCCAAATATGAGAAATTTACTGATAAGATACAAACCTTAGACAAACTTGCTACTCATAAGCTACAGAGCTTAGAAAAGGTTACTATTGATAATATGCAATCCCTACAACTAATACTAAAGAAAATGATGCAATTTTGAATAAGCTACAAGCCTTAGCAAAACCCATTAAAACAGATAATAGAGATATCCAGACACAGACAAAGAAATTTAAAGGAGAACCAACCTGACTGTTACATTATAAAAGTAGGGAGGAATAACCCAGGGTTATCAAACAACCAATCTTAGTTTATCCAGTTACCATACAAGAACAACTGCCAAAAGACAGCTATTTCCAAGGTTATATAAAAGCTGACTGGAGTCCTCTGGAAATGTTAGATTTGAGGAGATTTAAGGAAGCCATAGTCTCATATGTTATACATTCACTTTTTGTGAAACAGATGTTAAATTCATGGTCAATAACAGAATTGTCCCACAAGCCTGGAAAGACTTGGTTACAACAGTATTGGACCCTAGTCCTCAATTATAGTGGAGGATCTGGTGGAAAGATGAGGCTAGGACCATTGAACAACAAAGTAGGGCAGGAGGTGTAGATGTATCCAACCATCTTATAAAATAAGAAACACAGAAACAATGTAAAAGAGAAAGCCAAGAGGTCAGAGCTCAGAGCTAAAATCTCACCCTTCCTCCTGCTGTGTCCCAGCTTCCTGAAAGAGAGCTATATCCTGTCTGTTCGTCTTTTTATAGTATTTTGTTCTGCCTTTTCATTGGTTGTAAACCCAAACACATGACTGCCTCGTCACTGTATGAATGTACAGCCCCCTAGGTCTTAAAGGCATATGTCTCCAATGCTGGCTGTATCCCTGAACACACAGAGATCTTATGGGATTAAAGGCGTGTGCCACCACCGCTATACTCTTGCTATGGCTCTAATAGCTCTGACCCCCGGGCAACTTTATTTATTAACATACAATCAAAATCACATTTCAGTACAATTAGATTACCACCACAAGGAGGTATTAAAATATCCCAAGACTAACTTCCTGGAGAGGACAATTATGCTAATGTATGCTAATGCTAATAATATGGTCCATATGATGACCACAACCTGGCTATATGCTGTGAAGCAGCTCTGAATGCTTGGCACAGTACTGAAGAAGTTCGAAAGAGAACTGAGTCATTTACTAAAGTTACACAGGGCTCCAAAGAAACCTTCACTGATTCCTTACAAAGATTGACTTCAGCTGTGAATAGAATGATACCAAATTCAGAAGTTAGACAAAAAATAATTGAATCTTTGGCTTTTGGAAATCCTAATTCACATTACAAAAGGGTAATTAGGACTTTAAAGGCAATATCAGCACCCATAGATGAATGGATCTGAAATATAGTCAATATTGAATCTCATAACCATGATGATGCTTGGATAGGAGAGGTGATTTCCAGAGGCTTGAAGAAAAATCAAAATGTCATGTGTTTTAATTGTGGCATACAAAGTCACCTAAAAAGGGTTGTAGTCAGGGCATTCCTAGAAACAATGTTTCTTCTACTCCAAACCCAAGGTTCCTGCCTTTTGGAGTACACAGAAGGTACAGCAAAGGCTGACATTGGACCAATGAATGCAGAGAAGGTTACCCTTTGCCATTGGGAAACACCTTGGGGGCCTCTTGAAGGCTCCCATGTCAATTTTGGTTCAGTAATTCTCTGTAACTGAGGGGAAAACTTCCCAAAGCAATTAAAGGACCTATTTATTGCCTATTTAAAAAAACATACTTCTCTGGATGATAGAATAGCTTTAGAAGATAAAACGAAAAATTTCAGGAGAAACCATAAAGCAAATATTTTTGCAAACTTCTGTAAATGATCAAAGAGCAAAGCTAAAAATATGAATAAATGATGCTGTATTTGAAGGTCTTGTAGACACAGGAGCAGATGTAACAATAATTGTACCTGAATCTTGGCTTCCAAATTGGCCTCTTCAGGAGGTAAATGTTCAACTTTTAGAGATTGGAACATTATCTCAAGTAAAACAGAGTGTGAGATGGGTCAAATGTGTAGGACCAGCGGGACAAAGAAGAAAATTAAAGCCATATGTGGCTAATATAACAGTGAATTCATGTGGGTGTGATTGTTTGCTACAATGGAATACCCACACTAACATTCCTCCAATCTCAGAAACAAACCATAAACTACCATATATTTATTGGAAAAATATTAAAAGGCATTATAAATGATAGTACCAACCATTCAGGTTACACAAGAAGAGAGCACAACAGCTGTTGTTCTTTCAAAGGTACCAACAGACTACCTTTAAAATTGTTAACTGACAAACCTGCCTGGGTTGAACAATGGCCTTTGACATCAGAAAAAGTACAAGCCTTAGAATAGCTGGTACAGGAGCAGCTAACTACTCAAAATATTGAAGAATAAACCAGTCCTTGGAATTCTCCTGTATTTGTTATTAAAAATATAGAAAATAGAGAATAGTAACAGATCTAAGAGGTATTAATAAGGCGATTCAGCCAATGGGCTCTTTAAAGCCTGGAATTTCCTTGCCTTCTCTATTACCTAAAGGATAGTCTGTCATAGTTATTGGTTTAAAATGCTATTTCTTCATTTTACCTTTATAAGAAAAGAATAGAAAAAATTGCCTTTATGGTGCATATTTATATTAATTGTCAACTTGTTAGGAAATATCATCTTCCATAAGAGATGTTAAACAGCTCCATCCTGTGCCAATATTTTATATGACAGCTGTTGGAAATGA